CGCGCGTACACCGATTCCAGGGGTGGTCGTGAGCGGAAAGGAGACGGGTTGTATCGGCGTCGGTTTTGGAAGGGGTTACGACGAATAAATCAATATTCCCCTCCGAGCGATCGAGGACACGTCCCTCGAGCGGTGGCGACAGATGGCGACGAGGAGGGTGCTCTTTGGGCGGCGACTCGCGCGCCGGTTGAGCACCGCTGTCTCCGAAGAAAAGTTAAGCCTGGAGGGGCGATGCGGGTGGGTCGAGCAAGAGGGAGGAGGGAACACGGTCGAAGAAAAAGAACAGGGAGAGACGCCTGGAGGGGCGACGATGCCACGGAGGGGTGAGGGGAACGAGAGGAGAAGAAGGGAGAACTCGTAAAGCGAGTGGGAGAGAACGGAGAGGAGAGAAGGCGCGCGCAGTGTGCCATTCAAATTCATCCGGAAATTATTACCGACTAACCAAGGACGGCGAGCGGTTCTCGTCCGCTCGTGGCGCGCTTGCGCTCGCGCGCACGCTGATTTATAAATATATAGAGGCCGGTATAGTTCGATGGAAGACGGTGGACGAGGCGCGTGGAGCGTCCGAAGATTCGACGTTTCCTGTTCGTCGGACATCTCGATATGAAGCGATCGGGAAGACCACGCGCCGCGTTTCCGCTCGCGCGCGGACCGGCGTTCGACGCGCGCTGTATCTCGGCAACTCGCGTTTCTGTCCACGCAACTTCGATGCACACGCAGCGTAACACGCATTCTTCGGCGCTACGGAAACCGCACTCGTGAACGCTCTGATCGCGGCACACGACACTGCCAGGGAAAAGTCTGCTCCAGGATGAATCACGGGCACACGGTCGGTTCGAACACGAGGAAAAAAAGGAAGAAGGAGAACGACAAGGTGGGGAGTCTTGACGGTGCAAAGGAAAAATTGAAGGGAGGGCGAGATCAAGACGGCGATGAGCGTGTGGTTACTTACCGGGTCTGGGCTGTTGTCGCGGCGACGAACCAGGCGGACCTCGATGGAAATTCGTTGTTCGAGGAAACGTTGTGCTGGTTCGGTTGCAGGTTGTTTCCTCGACGGCAGTCGGGTGGCG